TATGGAATGCCAGGGATAGAACCTGGGTCAGCTGCGTGCAAGGCAAACGCCCTACCCACTGTGCTATCGCTCTGGCCCCCAGCTTAGAAATCTTGCACAAAAGAAAACCTAACTTAGTAAGAGTAGGAATCAGATATTATAATATCTATGCTTTTTTTTTCTTTATCTCTCCAATGACATGTCAGAATGATGATCAAATAAATGTCACAGAAATGGGATGGATAAAGTGGAGTGAATAAAACTAAATAGTGAAAAGGAATTAAGAATGTAGTAACATCAATACTTTCATAGTCACAAAACAATGTGGCTTCAAATTTCACTTTCAAAAGGTGACACTCCTGGTTTTCTGCTTAGGGGTTGTTCCTGGCAGTGCTTGGAGAGCCATGTGGTAGCGGGGACAGAATCTGGGTCTTCTGCATGCAAAGCTCCAGGCCGAGTATTGTATTTGTATTTGTATTTGTATTTGTATTTGTATTTGTGGGGGGTAGGGAGGGGGTGCATTCTTGGAGGCAATCAGGACAATTACTGGCTCTGTGACAGGAGATCACCCGTGGCGATATTGATTTAACATGGAACTCCTGAATGTTGGTGTATTTTGTAGGGTTATTTCAGACCATTTGAAGAGGAACTTCTGTTTTCATTTACCTTACAGAACTACAGAACCAAGTCTGATAACATTGCCCATCTGTCATCTTTTTCCTAAATAGTTAAGAAAACTTTTACGGACAAGAGAGACAGCTCGGAAGGCTGAGTGCATGCTCAGCATGCAGAAAGTTCGGGTTTGATTCTCGGCATTGCATGGCCCTGCAAGAACTGCCAGGAGTGACCCCCTGCTACTCTTCAGTAATTGTATTTTCACCTTTAAATTTATTGACTGACTTTTTAGCCCAAGGAGAGCAATTCATAGTATGCACTTTGTGTGCCCACTTCAAATCTCCCATTTTTCCTGAACTTATTTTCCTTTTGTACTCTTATTTTAAGTTAACTTTCTACATTGCATATTTAACTGCAATTATCTTATATTTGTTACAGAAGAAAGTGGAACAGATATTATCTATAAATTAAGAATATTTATTTGGAGGGGGTAAACACCATAAAGAACTATATATTCCTAATATTATCTAAAGATGTCTAAATGAAACATTGCAATACAACCTATTATCTGAATTGACTTAATCAACTGATCTTAATTGCATTTGGGCAAAAAAAATATCCTCTACAATGTAAGAAATCCAAACTATAACTTATTTAATTTTTTAAAATATAAATTATGTTAAAAGGAAAAATAGTTTTTTCAAAATAAATGGCAAAACTTATTAATAGTTAATTAGAAGATAATTAAGTTCAAGATAATTTAGAAAAGCAGTTTATAACTTCAAGAACATGTTTAAGTAAACTAATTGTTCATTCTGGAATTGCACCTTTCAGGCTCAACAAATACTTTAAATCATTCTTTGCTTAAAGTGGGTATTAAATTGTCAGAGGTTGTCACTACCTACCACATTCCTGAGCAGTGTGTTTTACAACACTGCCATAGAAGCAAGATATACACAATAATGATTCACAATCTCACCACACCCTAAATAGTTATCACACAGGCATTATCAGTGATACACCACAGGAGAATCAACTTGCCAATAAGATTCTGCCAGAGAGAAAACAGATACAGGAGCTTAGCAACACTGTTCCTAACAATGCTTCTCTTAGATACCAGATTACTTGAGGAAAGGCAATTCTGGAAATTTCGTTTTGAACACTGTGCCAAGTACACCTTTTGGGGACATTTGGAAAGAAAGGGAACCTGAGGTCGAATTTTTTTTTTTCTTTTTGGGTCACACCTGGAGATGCATAGGGTTTACTCCTGGCTTTGCACTCAGGAATTACCCCTGGTAGTGCTCGGGGACCATATGGGATGCTGGGAATCGAACTTGGGTTGACCGTGTGCAAGGCAAATGCCCTATCCCCTGTACTACCACTCCAGCCCCACCAAGGTTGAATTTTTATGGAAACTTTGCTAGGCATCATTGATCTTTCTCCTTATTCTTGAATGGCTTCGCCTGAGTTTTGACCAACTGTTACTTCTCTAGCAGTGGGTATGTTTAAAATAATTTGGAAGGGCTAGAAGATAGCAGAGGGAACCAGGGCACATGTTTTCCCTGTGTGGAGCCCTTCCATCCCTAGCAGCCCAGCACTGCACTCCCAAGTCTGGGCATTGACCTGTGCAGCCTGGTTGGTTAAGTACTTCAGGAAGTGACTCTCTGTGCCTGGGCACTGTTTGGGAAGTCCCCCTTTAGCCCTCCAACTCCCCCCAAAAATTCCAAGAGCCAGACTATTCCCATAGTCACATGAAATATCAGAATTCATACACACGTGCAGCAGTTGGAGTGGGTGGAATGGTGCACAGATAGAAGGAAATACTTAGTCAGTTTGGAAATATTCTACCTAACGCAATGCAACTTCCCAAGTTATCATCCATGAAAAATAAAGTGACTGCGGAGCTACAAGATCCTCCTCTCTATGACCAGTGATGGGGGAAAGTTGGAACTGGGGCCTATCTTCTTCAGGGACATCTTGAAAACCAAAATTCAAACTTTAGAGGAAGTAAAGTGAAGGATGGACAGCAGTAAGAATCACAACACAAAATGGCAAGAGTCCTACCTGCTGTGCTATCTTTCTAGTCTAGGTTGGTCTTTTTGGTTTTTTGGGGGGGCACATCCAGCGATGCTTAGGGGTTACCTCTAGCCTGCACTCAGGATTTAGTCTGGCAGAGCTCAGTGGACCAAATGGGATATCCAGGATCAAACCTGGGTGGCCTTGTGCAAGGCTGACACCCTACCCGCTGTACTATCACTCCAGCCCCAGGTCTTTATTTTTAACCAATGTGGGCTAGAGCGATAGCACAGCAGGAAGGGCGTTTGCCTTGCACGTGGCCAACCCAGGAACCTGGGTTCAATTCCTCCGCCCCCCCCTTGAAGAGCCCAGCAAGCTACTGAGAGTATTGCGCCCGCCTGGGAAAGCCTGGCAAGGTACCTGTGACTTATTTGATATGCCAAAAAAACCCCAGTCGCACAATGGAGACATTACTAGTGCCCACTTGAGCAAATCGACAAACAATGGGAGAACAGTGCTACAGTGCTACAGTGAATTTCAGAGGTTTGAGAAAGAAATTCAGAAAACAAATTTTTTCTCTTTTATCCTTCAGGTGACATATTTCAGCTGAATTTGAGCTGATATTTCCCCCAAAAGAAGCCAGTGCACTGCCATAAGACAATAGTATTCTGAAAAGCTGAAAAAATAACAATTACTTTTTATATGAACTACTGTCAGCATTAAATTCTTTCTTTATTTTTTGTTTCTAAATCACAGCCAATGACACTTGGTGAGTACTTCCAGTTTGATGCTTGGGGGTCACTCCTGGAGATGTTTGGGGGACCATGTGGTCCTGGAGATGAAACCTGGGGCTCCAGCATATAAAAACAAGGCTCAGCCAGTTGAACTATCACTGGCCCCCCCTTTTGTCTTTGTTTTTTGGGCCACATGTGGCAATGCTGAGGGCTTAATCCTGGTTCTGTGCTTGAGGTTCACTCCTGGTGGTGCTCAGGGGACCACATGGGATGCCAGGAACACAGGTTATTTGAGTTTTGTTTTTCTGCTTTTTAGAATATTAAATTCTTTCCAGAGTAAAAGATAAAAGTAATGTTATTATCACATATGATTTCTTTGGTTGATCTTTTGTTATCTGCCTTTATGTTTGCCAAAGTCTGCTAGAAACATGTACATATTTGTTTCTCCCCTAATGCCTACCACATCATTTTATGTACATTACTTTCCCCCCATATTTGGGCTGCATTATTTCTGGCAAGTCTCCCTCCATTTTTTGTTTGTTGGTTTGTGGTTATACTCCCAGCAGTGTTTGGGAGCTACTTCTGGCTCTGTGCCTGGGTCATTCCTGGTGATTCTTAGGGAATCTAAGAACATGAATGGTGAGTCCAATTTTAGTATTTTGTATGAGAGTGAATATCAAACAAAAGGCAAAAAATGCAAAACTTTTAACTTCTCAGCTTAGATGGGTAACTTTTAGAATATGCAAAGCTTTAGTGATAATCCCTTCATTCTTCTTTTTCTGGCTTTGCCTGTATACTACTACTACCTCTAAGGCCCCTCTAATATGACTGCCTCCAATACTTCTGAGTCAAAAATATTTTTAACTTGTGGACCAGAGTGATAGTACAGCGGAGTAACCCCTGAGAATTGCTGAGTACCCCTCCCACCCCCACAAAAAAGAATCATAATATTGGGCTAGAGACATAGTACAGAGGGGTAAATGCACTTGCTGTTCATGCCACAGAACCTAGTTCTATCCCAGCACTGCTTAGAGTACCCTAAGCACTGCCAGGAATGATCCCTAAACATAGAGCCAAGAGTAAGTCCTGTGCACTGGTGGGTATGGGCCAACTTCAATGTCCCTCCCCTACCCAGCCGCCCCCACCCCCCAAAATAAACCCAACAAGAATCACGACATTCCTATTAGAAACTACTATGGCATTTAAAATTGATAGAACTGATTTCCTTATCCCACCTAGCCCCCTGCCCCCACCAAAAGAACTACTTAAACTAATTTATCAACATACTATGTTTGAAAAAAGAGCAATGAGTGATATTTTCAGTATTATGTACTGATCATTTATAAGCAGAAGGATGCCACCACAGAAAATGACAGATGAACCCCAAAGAGAGAGTAACGTCCTGGAGAAGGTCACGTAAAGGCCAAAGAGAGGGAACTTGGCTCTGTGTGAGATGGATGCTTACCCTCACTCTTACCCAACTTACACTTGCTTACCAGAGATGAAAACAGTGAATCTTAGATGTGTAGTGGGTCACTCGGTACTTTCAGAAGGATAATTTTAGAGGGAGGAAAAAGTGTAGATTTAAGAGATCCAATGAAGATCACAAATAGGTACTCTGGAGCTTTGGAATAGCAGAATGAAACCAGTACTTACACTTTGAGATTCCCGACTTTTGGGAAACATTTTGGCAACATTCAGCCCATCGATGACGATATCGAAAGGAGGACAGGTTTTCACAAAGTTCTTAAATCTCTTGAGTTCCTAAAAAAAAAAGAGAAGATATTAACAAGAACTTAGTAAAGACCTGATCTTAAACAAATTGTTATGACCAGTGTCTAATGACTCAAAATAACCTATAGGTCAAAATATCATACAGGAAATTAGAAATATCTTTAAATGAATAGCACTGTAGCACTGTCCTCCCATTGTTCATTGATGTGCTCGAGCGGGCACCAGTAACATCTCCATTGAGAGACTTGTTGTTACTGTTTTTGGCATATTGAATATGCCACGGGGAGCTTGCCAAGGGATGTATTAGCATAATAAACAGAGAAGGTATATCATTTTACATGTTAATATGAAAAGAAAAAGGTACGAAAATCATTCACCTATTGTCACTTTAAGGTAGAAAGAGAGCAAGCTAAATTCCAAAGAAAGTGAAATAATAAAGAGTAGAATCAAAGAAATAGAAAAACAAAAGCATAAGAGAATTAACAAGGGGAAAAGTTGGAAGAAAAAATAAACCTTGAAGAAGACAATTTATATATAAGATTACCATTAATTTGTTTTGTTTTGAGCCACACCTCATGGTGCTCAGGGCTTGCTCCTGGTTCAGCTCTCAGGAATAACTTCTGGTGGGGCTATGGGGGGTTATGGGGACCACATGGGGTGCCTGAAATTGAACCCTGCACAGTTGTATGCAAGACAAGAGCCTTACCAGCTATATTATCGCTCCATCTATTAACTTTTTATTTTAGTTCTAAATAATTCAAGAGGAATAAGATAAGTACATTAAATCTCTGAAATTCAAGTTTTACTAATAATGTTGAAAATGATGTTGAAAGTAATGTTCCATTCCCTCAGGCACTGCTCTCTGGACTACCTTGCATTCACATTAGAATGATTAACTAAGGTGGTTTGGTATTGCTGACAAAGTGGACAGCTATTAAAATATCAAGAGGTAAACTACATTAATTTATAAAATCCCCATCCAGTTCTGATATTCTGTGATAAGAAGACCTGGAAATCCCTTAAAACCACAGAACGGAAAGGGTATACTTGAGCAAGTGTGCTTGAAGGGAGTCTGGAAGGCTCTGTGCAAACATGGGATGTGGAATAAAATGCCATCCAAAGACTATCCTCCTGATTGATGTCTTCTAAAAGGCAGAAAAATCCAATACATCAGGGAGCATTTCCCCTCCTCTGACTAAAACTAAGTGTGTTACTATCTCGGAATTCCTTGTAGTGCTTCTGTGAGGTCCCCAACATACTTGCTTTCCAAATGAACTTATATCATTGCACTTAAAAGCCACAGTGTAGACCACGTTGATAAAGGCCAAGGAGCTCACCCACTGCGACACTGTATTAGAGCACCCTAAAATAAACTTAAACCCTAAATTTCAGTTCAATTTAAGGAACAATTTACCTCTGGGCAAGAGAGACGGCTCAATACTCTACATGCAGGAGACTGGGATTTGTACCCTGGTATCAAATGGTGCCCCAGTGTCCTTAAAAATATTTTTTATTTATAGGGTCAGAGTGATAGTGATAGTACAGCAGGAAAGGCACTTGCTTTCTACAGTCAACCGGGGTTCAATCCCCAGCATCCTGTATGGTCCCCCAAGCACTGCCAGGAGTAATTCTTGAATGCAGAGCCAATAGTTACCCCTGAACACAGCAGGTGTGGACCCCCATTATTTTTTAATTTAAAAGTCTCATTTACTGAGTTGTTAGTTTACATGACTTTATGTGTGACAGGGGTACAAAGTCACACCTGCTAAAAAATCAGTGTTACCCCATCACAGCCACCAGCAAAGTACTGATGTGCCTCCACCACAGTCCACTAGGCTGTTCCTGGCTTTGATTCCCCTCCCTGCTCTGTAAACCTCAGTTTTGAGGACTGAGTCCAAGGGTTTGGTTTTGTATGTTCCCTTCCTTAGCCACTCTAGCACCCAAATAAGAGCAAGATCATTCAATTATTTTCTTTTTTCCTTCTGAATTAACTCAGTGAGCATGAGCCCCTGCAGTTTCATTACGCTATTGAAAGAGGCCAGATGTAATTTTTCTTATGGTTCAGTGGTATTTCATTGTATATATCTCCCACAACTTTTTAATCTATGGATTTATCATCAGAGATGGGCTGTTTCCATATCCTGGCTATTATGTAATAGCACTGCAATGAACATTGCTGTAAAAGTAACTTTAAACTAGTGTTTTGGAATACTTTGGAGGAGAATTATTAAATTAGATCATGATCCAATTTTAATATTTTGTATAATCTCCATTCCATAGAAGTTGAGTCAATTGACATATCTAAAAGCAGTATATGCTGGTTTCTTTTTCTCCACATTCCTGCTTTTTTCTACCCTATTTGATATAGATCATTCTCACAAGTGTCATATTTTATCTTTTTTCTTTTCTTCTTTGGCTTTGGCCACACCGGACAGTACTCAGGAGCCATTCCTGGCTCTGTGCTCAAGAGACCACAGGTAGTGCTGGGGATTTGAACCAGCATTGCAGCCAACTGTAACCTGGTGCAAAGCAACTCCCTGCACTATATCTTTCGCCCTGAATGTCTCTGGCCAAGACTCTGTTCAGTTGTTTGTTTCCTTGTTGAGTTTTGTGAGTTCCTCAAAGAGCTCAAATATTTACCCTTTGTGAAACATATGCCATGCCAATGTTTTCTCCCATCCAGTCTTTGTGTCTCTTCCCTTGTGTGTGTACAGTGAGAAGATGTCTCCCATGTGGTATATAGCTAGGGGGTCACTCCCGGCAAATTTCAGTTCACCAGTGAAGCCCCAGCAGTTTGGTCTAAGATAGTTCTGCTCCAACCCAGAACCCAGAACCCAGGAGGCAGGGGTCACCAGAGTTACTTTTGGGAACTCATGTCTGTCATGTCTATTTTAATGACAGTTTCTTTAGCTAAGCAGAAGGTTTTTGGTTAAATGCAATCTCATTTGCATATTTTTGAATCTATTTCCCTTGACTCTCGAGTCAAATCACCAAAATATACCATGGAAGTCAATGGCCTGAGTATCCTGCCTGTTTTCTCTGGTGTATTTTATGATTTCAGGTCTAACATTAAATTTTTTTTAACCCATTTTCAGTGAACTTTTGTACATGGTGTGAGAGTGTGATCAGTTTCATTCTTTTGTATGTTGCTATCCAGTTTTTCCAGCACCATTTATTGAAGAGACTTTTCTTTTTCCATTTTATGCTCTTGAATACTTTATCATAAATTAATGGCACACAGTGTGAAAAAATTTAATTCTGGCCTCTCAATTCATCCCACTAATCTGTGTGTCTATTTTGAGTCAACACAACACTTAGAACAATAGCCAATATATGAAAACAACTCAAAAGTCCAATGACATATGAGTGGATATAGGAGTTCAGATATATATAAACAATGGAATACTACGCAACCATGGGAAGAATGAAATTATGCAGTTGCTAAAACTTGTCTGGAACTTAAGGGTTGTCATATTAAGCAAGGTAAGTCAATGGAGAAGAACAGGCAAATACCAGATGTTCTCACTGTGAGACAGAGTATTAAAACAAGAAATTTAGTGTGAGGGCTAAGCAATAGTATAGTGGGTAGAGTGCTTGCCTTACAAGTGGACAACCCGGTTTCAATCCCCGGCATCCCATATGGTCCTACAAGCACCTCCAGGAGTGATTCCTGAGTGAAGCCAGGAGTAACTCCTAAACACCAGTGGGTGTTGCCTCCAAGAAAAAACAAAAATTAGAAGGTATCAGCGTGGGCAAACCTTGGCCTTGGATTACAGAATGCCAAGGAAGGGGAGGAAGAGGAGACAGACTGATGGTAACACTGGGCATTGGATACTTGTGGTATAAAGATGAAATTGCTGTGTACATCAAAATTGTAAGATCCAACATTATGATAACAATGTGTTCCAGACTGTAATAATTAAAATGTTAACGAGTTTGTTAAGGAGGCAGATAGAAGGAAACCTTGGGTCACTGTGAAGAGACACTTACATTAGTGGGATTATAGTTAGAACATTGTATGTCTCTGTTATTAATAGCTTTGTAAATCGTGGCACCTAAATAAAAATGATAAATAGAATTTTTTTCTTGAGATAAATATTCAAACCATAAAATTAACTCATTTGAAATATACAACTCAAAAGCTATACATTAATCATTACAACCTAATTTTATAACATTCTGTGTCTCAGAAGAAAGTCTTGTTATTAGTCAACCTCATTCCTCCACCTTACCATGCCACAACAACCACTAGTCACTTTCGGTCTCTATGCATTCCCCTATTCTGAATATTTCAACTGAACAGAATTATACAGAATGTGATCTTCCATGATCACCTTCCTCCACTCAGCACAATGCTTTCAATTATCAGTACTTTATTCATTTTTTATTGAAGAATAATATATTATTACTTATAATAATAATATAACATCACAATTTATTTATCCATTCATCAGCTGATGAACTTATGGGCTATTTTCCACTATGAACAATGCAACAGTGAATTTTGCAAGGATGTATGTTTTTTTTTTTAACATTATAGTTTATTATTTATTTATTTTCTTTTTGGGTCACACCCAGTGATGCACAGGGGTTACTCCTGGCTCTGCAGTCAGAAATTAACCCCTGGCAGTGCTCAGGGGACCATATGGATGCTGGGAATCGAACCCAGGTCGGCTACATGCAAGGCAAACGTCCTACCCGCTGTGCTATCACTCCAGTTCCAAGGATGTATGTTTTTATTTCTCTTGATAATATAGCTAGGAGTAGAACTGTCAGATCATATGATAATTCTACATTTTACTTTTTGAGGAACTGTCAAGAGTGTTATCCAATGTGACTGTACTATTTTATAATCTCATCTTCAACTAGGCCTCTAAGTTTTCTTTTCTAGGGGGTTGGAGGTAGAGGGAAGCATGCCTAGTGGTGTTCAATGGCTACTTCTGGCACATTTTAGGTATTATGTTCGCGATACAGGTTATCATGTATATCCTTTTATCTGCTTTAAAAACTTATTTCTTGTCCAGAGTGAT